TCTATTATAAAATACAAGAAAAGAGACACGTGGCAGCAGAAGACCCACCCGGTGTTTATCACCGGGTGTAGGGTCGAACAAATCTTTGGTTAAACTGTCATAAGAAACAGTTGTAGGGTGCATTTTGCCAATTTCAAAATTTAATGGTGCAAAACGCCAATCCGTGCCATTTTTGGGGTGCAAAACGCAATTCACCCTTGTTGAAGCTTATATATTTAAGATTGATATATTCCATGCAACCAAACACCAGTTCAGTTGAAGAAGTAGTATAGCCTAAGAACAAAAGATATAAAAAAGAAAAAGAAAATGGATGAGTTCATACATGTAGTAGCAGCAACTTTTTCAGTACTCTCAATTCTATGGTACATCAAATATTCACTAGGGAAAAGAACTCCTCCCTTGCCACCAGGTCCACGTGGCATTCCGATCCTCGGTTATTTGCCGTTTATCGGCAGAAGCAATAACTTGTTCCCCAAGCTAACCGAGTTAGGGCACAAATTCGGTCCGATCTTCAAACTCAACCTCGGCCGAAAACTCTGCGTCGTGATCAACTCACCCTCACTCGCCAAAGAAATCGTCCGAACCAAGGACGCCGTCTTCTCCAACCGTGACGCCTCCGTCGCGAACCTCGCCGCCTCGTACAACGCAAGCGACGTCGTTTTTTCCGAGACGAACTCGCGATGGGCGACAATGCGTAAGGTATTCGTCCGAGAAATGATGAGCACCGCTAGCCTCGAAGCTTCCAATGAACTCCGCGCCAACGTTGTCGGGAAGGCGGTGGACTACGTCCGGGCCCACTCGGGGAAGCCGGTCAAAATCGGCGAGTTGACTTTTCGGACCGAACTCGACGTAATTATGAACATGTTGTGGGGTGGGACAATTGAAGGGGTAAAAGGGGAAATTATTGCGGCGGAGTTCTTTTCGGTTGTGTCGAAGATTATTGATTTGTTGGGGAAGTTGAATGTTTCCGATTTCTTTCCGGTTCTCGCCCGGTTCGATTTTCAGGGAGTGAAGAGAGAGATGGAGGGTTATGTGAAATGTGTGGACAGGATATTTGATGATGTTATTGCACAACATGAAAAGAAGTTGTCTTGTGGAGAAATAATCAAGAAACAAGGGAAAAAAGACTTTCTCCAAATCTTGTTAGAGCTTCAAAACAACCAAGATTGTGGTCACATTTCAATTAGTCATACACAGATCAAGGCTATTATGATGGTAATTAATTAATGTAGATATAATTTTTATTTATACAAATTGCATTTTGCTGCCTATTATTTCCATTTGTTGCACTTTTGCCCCTTAAAAATATGAAAGTGAGTGGACCCCCTTCCAAGTGTAATTGTTTTTGCATGTTGCCCCGATAACCGTGTTCCGATGATTTATTGACCGGAATTGAGTGCTTTGGCTGCAAGTTGCGCCTTTATAATTTTTTATTTTATTTTTGTTGCACGCCGCTCTTATATAAAATTTTATTTTTGTTGTACGCTACCCCTTTAAAATATAATTTTTATTGCAATGCCTCTTTAAAATATTAATTTTGTTGCATGTTGCCATCGAAAATTGAACTTTTGCGGCAAAGTGCAATTGGAAAAATATTTGGAAGGGGTCGTCTCTTTTTTAACTTTTAGGGGGGAAAGTGCGAATCTGAGAAATTTATAAGGGGCGATGCACATTTAGTTCTTCTTTATTTTATTTTTTATTGTTTTGGTTTTATTTTTTAGATTTCTAATAAATATGATTTATCGATTGATGACTAACAAGATTTGGTCATGGAAAAAAAATTAATTATATGACATTGTAGCCGGTGGGACCGACACGAGCGCGATAACAGTCGAGTGGGCAATGGCCGAGCTCATGCTACATCCGACGGTCATGAGCAAGGCGCATAAAGAATTATCCGACATAGTTGGATTGAACAACACAGTCGAAGAATCCCACATCCCGAAATTGAAATATCTAGAAGCAGTTGTTAAAGAAACAATGCGCTTACATCCAGCAATACCTCTCCTGATTCCGAGGTCTCCATCGCAATCTTCCACCGTGGGAGGGTACACCATACCGAGGAACACCATGGTCTTTATAAACGTCCGATCGATCCAAAGAGATCCGTCGATTTGGGATAATCCATTGGAATTCAAGCCAGAGAGGTTTCTTGATGGCGAAAGTGGGAAATGTGATTTTAGAGGGAATCATTTTCACTATCTCCCGTTTGGGTCGGGGAGAAGGATATGCACCGGCATTCCACTTGCCGAGAGAATGCTGACACATTTGCTGGCGTCGCTCTTGCATTCTTTCGATTGGGAAATACCGAAGGGTGAATCGACACTTGATATGTCGGAGGCGTTTGGGATTGTCTTGAGGAAAGCTACACCATTGGTTGGCATTCCTAATCCAAGGTTGAATGGTTCAAATTAAACCTCTCTCTCTCTCTCTCTCTCTCTCTCTCTCTCTCTCTCTATATATATATATATATATATATATATATATATATATATATATATATATATATATATAGTTTTGATTCAAAAGTTTGGTGTAATATTTTGTTGCTTTAGTGACTCGGTTCTATGTGTTGTTGAGTTAGTTGCTTGATTTACAATAATCTTGGTATTGTCTCTTGATTGATATATCCAAAAATATCTTCGAATGTCAATTTTTAGAGTGCCGGAATGTATACTATGCTGCAGTGGGTGAAAATAGATCGGACAGATCATTACCATGTATGTATATATACATACCAACATAGGTGTGTGTAAATTAACGATAAAAATTCATCCGATGTAGCATCGGGATAACCATCGAGATGGATCACAAGCTACACAATTAGGGATTTAATAACGGGAAAATTAGATAAAAGTCCCTTGCAAGGAATGGTTTTTTTTTTTTTTTTTGTGAGGAATGCAAGGAATGAAAATTACTAGAGGCCGATCCCAATGTTTTGATTTCGACAAAAAATTATTACTCGATAAATCTTTGATGATAAATAATTTTTTAATTGTGATATAATTCAAATTTTGGTATGCTGATTAACAGTTGGGAAGTCAGTGTAGGGCCGGTAGAGGCCGTGCTCTTTGTGGTTTCAACTTGTTGCACTTAAACCCTTGTCATATCAATTTAGGCCTTTTACGTTCCTGTGGTTTGTGCAATGTAGCGGCTTTCAGTTTAGCTATTAAAGGTTAACAGAAAATGGTTAAATATCTAATAAACCCTTCTAATTTTGTACAATTTACATGTCAAAACAACCCTTTTTATTCGAGTGAACTCAAAACAACCCCTGTGTAATGTCTAATTGTCGGATAAGTTCTCGTGCTAAATAAATTAGCAATTACCCCATGTTTCATTTATTTAACCCACTTCGTCGCCACTCTCGTCCGCCTAATAATCTGGCATTATATATGAGAAATTATATAAAATGATCATAACGAAAGTCATGCATACATGTCCGCGAATACAATATTGAATTGAAAAGGATGGCGTAACAATTATTTTTTTAAATTAAAATTTAATTAGATATTATAAGCTTTATAAGATTGGCCATGTTCCTGGCGTGGAGTTAATTACTCCAAAAAAATGCACATACATGCATGTATAAATTTCATTCAACGAAACCAGTTCAACAATATAATAAGTATCCAAAAAGAAAAAAATAAAAATAAAAATGGTAGTAGCAACCTTAATTTCTTCAGTGTCAATTCTGTTGATCTCCATTATATGGTACATCAAATCCTCCACACTAGTAAAAAAAACTCCTCCCTTGCCCCCCCCCACGCGCCCTACCAATCCTCGGGTATTTGCCGTTTCTCGCCAAAGATTTCTTCACCGAGCTAACCGAATTGAGACACAAATACGGCCCAATATTCAAGCTCCGTCTCGGCAGCAAACTATGCGTTGTGATCAGCTCACCGTCCCTCGCGAAAGAGGTCCTCCGAAATCAGGACACCGTTTTCGGACATCGAGACAACGGCGTTTGTCGTGTCTTCTGGTGGAAACGACATTGTGTTCTTGGAAACGAATCCCCATTGGGCTAAAATGCGGAAAATATTCGTTCGAGAAATTATGAGCACCGCAAGTCTAGAGGCGTTCAACAATCTCCGTAGGGATGTCGTCAGAAAGGCCGTCAGGCATATCGGAGCCGGTGCAGGAAAGCCCGTGAAAATCGGTCAGTTGACTTTTCGAATCGAGCTTGATGTCATACTGAACATGCTGTGGAGCTGTGAGACGCTCGGGGCGGAACAAGGGGATACGATCGCGGAGGAGTTCTTTTCCGTGGTCACGAAGCTTATTAATCTATTGGGAAGACCGAATATTTACGATTACATTCCGGTTCTTGCCCGGTTCGATATTCAAGGAGTAAAGAAACGGATGGAGAGTTATCGGAAATCCTCCCACAGGATCTTCGACGTTGTTATTGCCGAACACAAAAAGAAGACGTCTTCCGGAGAAATCAAGAAAGATTTTCTCCAGATTCTGTTGGCGCTTCAAAAGAACGAAGATTCGCGCATATCAATCAATGATACACAAATCAAGGCCATAATGATGGTAATTTTATTTATAAGTCTGCAAGGACTTATTGCATTTAGTAACTCATGTGTTCACTTTAATTGCCAAAAAACTCCTTATGTTATAAATCTTAACAATATCATTCATACGTTTCAATTTTATTAGCAAACTACCACCTAAAAACGCACCATTTAGAGGGTTATGTGCTAAAAAAATACATCATAGTTTGCTAATACTTATAAGTTAAAACACAAGGAGTTTTGCAGCAATTCGATATAACACAGGAGTACTGAAGAAAATAAAATGATTTTATTGACTAACAAGATTTGTTTATGGAATATTCTGTATATAGGATATGGGAGGGTACACCATACCGAGGTCTCCATCCAAATCATCCACCGTGGGAGGGTACACCATACCGAGGAAAACCATGGTCTATATAATTGTTCGATCGATCCAAAGAGATCCTTCGATTTGGGATAGTCCACTGGAATTCAAGCCGGAGAGATTTCTTCATGATGATGAAAATAGTAAATGTGATTTTAGAGGTAATCGTTTTCATTATCTCCCGTTTGGAACGGGGAGAAGGATATGTGCCGGCATTCCGTTCGCCTAGAGAATGCTAATGTATTTACTTGCTACACTTTTGCATTCTTTCGATTGGGAGATACCAAACGGCGAAACACTTGATATGTCCGAGGCGTTCGGGACTGCCCTGAGAAAAGCTACACCGTTGGTTGGTATTTCCAATCCGAGGTTCACTTGTTAGAGACAAATATCTCATAGTTTCGAGTGTTTAAATTCACACTCGATTTCAATGTGTTGTTCGGTTGTTTTGCTTCATTTCAATAAACTTCAGTGTTTTGGTGTTGTCCTTTTTATTATATCCGAAAATATTTTTAACTGATTTTTTTCTTTTTTTTTTAACGTTGAAACCCGCAACTAACTATAGGTGTGTTGGGTAAATATACTCTTGTATAGAGTTAAATGCAAAAAAAAACCCTTGTATTAATACTAAACACCAAAAACCCCCATGGGATAAAAAAAGTGACAAAAATCCCCCTGTAATCAATAGTCAAAGTCATACATCCCCAACCTTTGTGCGTGTCATTCACTCGCTGTGTGTGTGATTACTTGTGGG